AGTTCCTTTCAGTTATTCCAGTTATGTCACACTCATATTCAAAGCTAACAAAGAGTCCTCTGTTTATGCACCCTGTCTGTACGAGCTGCACTACAATGAAATTAGTCTTGAAAATCAGAAAACTAGGAATTCTTTCTACTTCAAACCCAATTCCTACTGATATTTGTTCTCTTTATGTATCTATGTATATTCTCTCCTTTCACCAGTGTTAGGGCCACTACTGGGACCTTGTTCACCTCTTGCTTAACTTACTTCATTGATTTCCTACTGCATCCTGCTTCTGTACACCTAATTCATGATTCATAGTTAATCCAAAAATAACCATTCAAAAAATGCAAGGTTGGTCATATTTATCGGTTCATGAAATCTTTCAACGATCTCCATTGTCCTTAGGTAAGTTCAAAATTCTTTACCTTAATATGAAGGTCTCTGCATGATATGATTCATGCCACCTATTTGTTCTCATGGCTTTAAAACTCGTTCCTCACTTGCACACATAAATCTGTCTTCTTTGTGTCATCTCCATCCTCACTGAGTTGAATAGCAGCAAGTTCTCTCAGTGAGATCCAGCACCACTTTACCTAGAAAGTTCCTTGTGACTTTGCCCAAGAGCAGAATTAGGTAACTGCTCATTTGATTTTGGATTCTGTAGACCATGCATCTATCTAAATGTATCACAGCACTTATCAAAATGTGTTAGAGTTGTTGCTTATGCTTCATTCCTCAGATGTGTGTTCTTGAAAGCCAAGATTCTGCCTTAGCTTTGGTTTTGACTTTTACCAAATAACTGGCACAGAGTGTAGATTACTCAATAACAGTAGACAGTTTTGTACAATGACTCAGTGACAGATACACTGGTATTTATGACTCTTACTAGCTGTGTGATGTCCAGACTACTTACATGTTTTCAGTACCTTAGTTACTTTTCTGTAAAATGAAGACCATAATGCTTAATGAACCTATATCATAGAATAAATGTCAAGATGAAATGAATTGTGGTTCTAAAAACAGCATATAGAGCAATTTCCAGTATATAGCTTGTTCAAGGAATGCATGGTATCTAAGAACCTTTACTATGCTAAGGTTCCATAATTCTAAAGTCATGTTTGGTGTGTACAAGCATCCAGTTGTCTTTGGGAAAACAGGCTTTGAATCTTATAGGGATAGCACCTCTTCCTGCTTTCCTCACCTTCACAAGGACAGTGAAGAGATGCTTGTCCTGAGGAGGGCTCCCACGAGAGCCTGGGTATTCCCAGTCCAGGTCCAATCCATCAAACCCGTACTGGCGCAGGAATTTGATGACTGAAGTGATGAAGGTCTGGCGGTTCTGAGAAGTGGAGACCATGGCAGTGAAACTGAGGGAAACCAAAGTAAGGCAGAGTAAGGTCTTGGTGTTCTTTCTACACTGAAATAAAAACAGTTTACTCTTCAGTTTCTGCCTCACAGTCCTTGTCCAGGACCTGATTGAGGATTAAAGCATGTTTCAGGGGTTTCCTGGTCTCTCTTTGCAATCACTACTCTTGCCACCCAAGTATCTTAGCATTCACTTTATCTTATTATTCTTCCCCACTTGCAACTCAGATGTTTATTCCAAATGCCCTTGTTGTTTTGAATGCCCTACAAACTTAGTTCACAGACAATATTGTGTCTTCAAATATGCCCCCAGTTCATGTGTACTCAAGTAAGTCTTGT